AAGCAATTCTGCTTTTTCTCTTGTTTGCATTAAACTCTTTAAATTGTAGTCGAAGTTTAACTGCTTGTAAGTATTGAAAACATTCCTTCTTAATATATCCTTTTTCATCACAAAAGAAGCAAAGTTTTGGAGCTGAGTGCCATTCTGTAGTGATTTTGTTATTCATAAGAATATAGAATCATGGAATTCTTTCTTCTAATTTTGGATCGTCAGTAGTTTCAAATATAATAATCTATTGATCTGTTAAATATGGAGTACTCTCGATTAAAAGTGGTTTAATTGAGACAATTTTGCCTATATTATCAAAGGTTTCTCTAATTTCTTCTGATATAATATCTTTATCACCCAACGGAACATTTCTGATTTTGATTGGAAAGAAGGATTTTCTTGCATCAGAAGGAATGTAGTCATAGTATGTTCTGTTAAAGATTTGTATACCTTTTAAAGCATAATGCTTCAGTTTTTCCTTATTTGAGAAAACTAGTTCTAAATAAATATGTACTTCTTTATTGATATGTGACTTAGCTGCAATTATATCACATCTTACAGTTTCATGAAGTGAGATCATTGTTTCGTTTAGTGAACCTATTAGATATTGGATGTCTATGATAAGAGCATTATCATTTCTTGACTTTATATTATTTCTTGGTGAGAAAGAAGAAAAAGTTGACTGTCCTCTTTTAACTTTAGCAAAGAGGCTTGTCCAAGATTTATTCGCAGTTTCTTTGCTTTTGTTTATGTTAGTTGAACTTAATTCTGTTAATGATGTCTCATATGGATTTACGCATATTATTGTTGTTGTTGCTGAGTTTTCATTGTTGTTAGGTTCTTCATTACATGTTTCAAAATTAGATGTGTCTAATTCCTTGTTTTGGTTTTTTCTTTCTTCAGAGAGACCTTCTATATTTTCTAGAGAGACTTGTTCATCCCAACTGAGTGTGTTGTCATTGGTGTCTAGATGTTCAGAGACTGTTGAAACTGTCAGGTAACTGTTTGCTATTGTAGTTTTCTCTTTGGAGTAAGAACCTTTTTTGTTGTATGCAGTAGGCTTTTCCATATTGAAATAGTTAGTAAACTTAGTTTTCTTGCATTTGCGAACCTCAAAAGTAGGAGTACTACGTTTCTTAGGAACGAGGGGAGATACCCCTGTTCTGATGCTGTTTTTAAAGAGAAAAGAGCTCTTAGATAGATTAATTTTGTTTCTTCTAAATTACTCTCAACCCTAAACGCAAGTGGTCAGGAGAGAGAGATCGTCGATCCAAGTTTTATCAGGAATTTTAAAGTCTGATTTAAGCTTATTTGCTTTGATTCGCGATAATGCACTTGTGAACCGTCTCATTCAAAGGTAACCCGACAAATTTTTGGTTCATGTCTTTTTCTAATTGAGCTTGTGATTGTAATAATTTAATGTTTTCATCAATAGCCTAAAAATATAAAAAAAAGGTTAGAACGATCGACAAATAATGGAAAAGAAACAGGAAATGTACCTTCGCTTCAAAAGAATCCTGATAATAAAAATCATTTAAAAGTTTCAAATCTTGCTGTTTGCAATATACTTCTAATAGACTACAAGCCATAGGTTTATTATTGATGATCCTGAAAAATTCAGGAAGTGGAAGCTTTCTTTTGAGATGAAGCATTACTAAATAAACTATTAAATAATAAAGTAAAATATGATTGTAGTAAACCGTTTTTGAATTGTAATTTATTTTGATTCTCACCTAAATCAGTATCACCGCTTTCAATCGCTTTTATTAACGCTAACTCATCTTTTTGCATGCTTATAAGAAGAGGCACCTGATCAGCCGCACGTGGTTCATAATCGAGTAGCTAAAAAAAATGTATATTTTACTTTCAGCAATTCAGAAGATAACAGCTATAATAATAAATAACATACTCTTGTTGCTAATTTTGGTTGCCCAACGTTGTGTGGAGTTTTTGCAATTTCAGCATAAGAAAGGCTGGGTTTGTTTGCTAGTTTTTCTACAATCATTCGACAAATAGTTTCCTCGTCATCTGTAGGTTTTTTAATCTATAAAAACGAAAACAAAATATACATTATGAGATGAGTGTTTATATAAAATTAATATACATTTGAGGCTGTAAAAAAACAATTCAAAGACATTACTTGCCTTCGCGCAAGCCCAATGGATGAGAACTCGTTCTGTCGTCATCTTTAAATATTCACAAACTCTTAATGCTAACAAATGATGATGGCGATTTGTCAATCTGTCGATTAATGCGTCTGGTGTAATACGTATATATCTAAAATATTTTGGTAAATAAATTATCTTTCATATGTAGACACAAACGGTTTAAAAATAAATGACATTAACTGTGTATAAGTTATTGGTATTCCAATTTCGAAATATCGTACAGAATTTAGAACCCTCAATATTTGGCACATCTCTACGAAACGATCAGAATTATACGGTTCGAGAAACGTTTTCCCAACCGCTGCCGCTTTGAGCAAACTTCGTTGCCGAACTTGGTTAAACTCGTGACCTGCAGCCTCGATACAAGCATCAACGGCTTCACTAAGTTCAGGACGAATGCTTCGTATGTTTTCATCTGCTTTTGGACTTCGTTTCTAAAACAAGATGAATAAAGTATCATTTATGAAATAATGTGAACCAAATTTATCTCCGTTCAGATTTGTTTTTGTTTAGATATTATGTTGCATATTTCCTTACGTCAAAATGTTCTAAAGCGTCGAATAACATTGCTGCTGGAGCAGTGGAACCTATTTTGAAAGTTTCCTCGGTAACATCTATGGAACAGTAAATGTTTAGCTCACAAAGGTTAAAAGCAGTAAGAAAAAAAATTTTATATGGGGTTGATTCAATAGTAACCAAGCAAATATTTTTTAATAAATTTTTTACTTTAAACAAGAATAACTTAACAATTATTTAATTAAATTTAATAAAAATTCTTTTAAATTAATTCTACAAGTTTATAAACTATATTAAAAATTTTTTATTAAATTTGATTAATTTATATCGACACACCCCATATATATATATATATAAAACGTACTTGGAACTTTCTGTAAAAATTCGCATTTGTCACTACTAATTATGCGAACACCATCTATCTCGGGGATTAAAAATACAGCATCATCATAAGGGTATCTAATCCAATCACCATATGGACCGACCATTAAGAGAAGTTGCTGAAGAAACTAAAAATACAAATGATTTTAAATATCAATTATTTACAAAATTGATTGAAGGGTTCATTATCAATATTAAACACGTACCTGGTCCCGAGATTTCTAACATCAACAGTTAAGATCGTAGAACTAGTAGCTATAAGTACTTCTACATGACTGCTGAGTGTATACTGAGGTGGGATTAATGTCCAATTATGAGGTGGTTCATTCAATCCTTGTAGTAAATGCGATAGTTAGTTAAATCATTAATACGTTATTTATTACATTATAAACAACCCATTTTAATAATGCGACCTTTGTCCCACTATAAAGTAAAATCGATTTGAATCAAAAACTTAACAAATAAATTAAAATATCTCACTTCTAGTTGTCCCATTAATTTTCTGGCTGACGTATAAAGATAAATAGTGGGTTTAACTGGGTGTTACTTTTACAACATTAAAATTTTTTTATCGTCACGAATCACTGCTGCAAAATTACAAATCAAAATGCATTAAAATAAAAAATGCGTACTTTTTTTTAAAACTAGCATACATTTATACCTTTGCAGAACTTACCTATTGGTCCACCGAATGCTGCACCAGCTATCATATATTTTGACAAATCCATATGCTTCCATGACATCTTATATATTTCTTGCTTCCTAGAACGTTAAAAAACTTTAAATTTTTCGGCATAGTACCAATCACGATTTTTTAGATTATAATTGGCCAATAGAAATAAATTTACTATTAAAATTGACTCTTGCACTATGATTGGCCATATTTGCCAGCATGTGACTATGAGCCAATAAAATTATAAATTATACTGGTAAAATTAGTTCTATCGTTATAATAAAAGGTCAAATATATTTTCTTAAACATATATATTTTTATTATATACTTTCCAATTACTGATTTCCGATTTCTTTTGACTTTTAGACTAGAGAAAAAATTTACGCATTTTATCATTTGTAAAAATTTGATTGACAATTTTAATTCGCAAGTCAAAAAAAATGGTGAAGAAATCGCGAATCAATAATCAAAAATTAGTGATTACTTTTTTTTTTAACGTAATTGTTACGGCTAGTTACGACATGCGTAAAATGCAATGAGACGATTCGTCAGCATCGCATCTTTAGTAACGCTATAAATTACAGAAACGCTAGTTTGTTTCATTATTTCTTTAAAAGTAATGTTTCTATCATGATAAGTGCCGCGCAAAACTTTAAGTCAATGCTCAAACTAATGCAATCCTTTTTTATCGTAATCCTCAATTTATGTCAATTGTTAATTGATGTCATTCTCAATTAAAAAAAAATGATACGTATACATACGTTGTTTTGCATTGCACTAATATGGTTACTATGTTTCATAATATAATATAATTTTTATTAATTAAAAACTTTAATCATTTAAAAATTATTATTAATTACTGATGTGTTTACATTTAAAAATATTAATAAAATTAATTTAACAAAATTTCACTAATTCAACACCAATTTTGCAAACAATTACTACTTCAGCTTTATTTCTCGAAAGTCAGATTCTCTAAAATTATTTGTTGCATAAATTGTTAGTAACATATTCATCTTTTTCAACTCCAATACCATAAAAAT